CACTTTAACCATGCTTGGTCGCTCCAAGTCTGCCTTGTCCTGATTGGCTCAGTCGCGGCCAACACTTGTTAGTGGCGTTTGCTTGGCTCTCTGTCCTCTAACCCGCTTTGGGTTCCCTCACCAAATCCGCCAGAAAGCATCGCAATGCCACCTATCTGAACGTCTTCTGACAATGCGTGTCTTCTAGTTCAGTTAATTTTCTATTACTATGGCGAACAGCCTCTATTCCACAAACTGTTTCGATCAAATTCCTCCAATTTGCTTTCAGAACATCAGCTGGGACTTCAACTGCCAATCGAGATTCGGTCCTTTGTTTCCAACTGCCACTGAACTGGTTTTTGTTTATATTCCAACTCTGGAAATGACTTTCGTTTATATAACTGTCGCCTTTTTATCAGCGTGCTGACTAGATAAAGTATGGGTGGGCATTGTCCTCAGTTCCCATACTGAGCCATCGTTGGTTGATTGGATTCCCGTAAGCAGCCGTTTATGTGCATTTCGTTTGACAAAGTCAACCAACATTGCTCGGAGGGTAATTTTGAAGTACACGTTATGTGGATGGATTACGAGGAGCAATCTCAAATTAGACCACGTTTCCCATTGAAGTGAACCTTGGCCATTCGATCACTAGGACCACAGCTGATGGAGAAAAAGCAAATTGAGCGTTGCTCACCCGAAAACACTGCACTCCATGACGCGTTTCGATGTTATTTCCTCTCATCAGATAGATATAACAACATCGAAGGCGGGACCATTGGGGTTTTAGTCGTGATCACTGCCCCTAAACCACCGGGCCAGCCACATTTGATTCACAAAATATTACTAGACGCTGTTTGCGGTTGCCGCTTATCTCTCCACTGAGTGCTGTTCTGATGCTGCCTAGCGCATCTTCCACCACGAACTGGTAACGCTGCGAAGCAACGGACGGACAACGGCGAGCGTCTGTTACATCTGTGCGCGGAGCACGGTCTTTTTCATAGTGGCACCACTTTCAGACACGATGCGTACGAAAATGCCGCTTGTCGTCCTCCTGTAGATGGCCAACGATGGGCCCAATTGGATCGGGTTGACATAAATTACTGGTGGCTTGGTCTCCATCCTGGATTGTCGCATGTTATGCAATACCCGCGTCGACTCTGATCATGCCTTGGTACGCTGCCGGTTTTTGCATGACTAGGAGGTGTACTAAGCGTCTCCCTCAATTAGCAACTGTGAGGTTATCTCAATCCACGGCCACGCAAGCTTACTAGGATCTACTGCGTACCCAACTTTTGCTCTCCTGTCCTACTGGTATTCAACTCCAATGTAACAGGATTTTGACCGCCATGCAGCAGCCTCCGCTTGCGGCACTACCAATCGTTACCGCATCAGTCATTGGATATCCGACAAATCGGTGAATCTGTTGGAATCCAGAAGAAAAGTTTTGGCTGACTTTGAGCACAATTTGACCATACGGACTATTAGGCGCGAACTAAACCGGAGCCTACGTGCTGACAAGAAAGCTTGGTGGATCAGTCGGGCTCAAGAAATGGAGGAAGCAGGAGCAGTACATAATTATCGCAAGCTTTCTCAGTTTATTTGCACTACTGGTCTCAGGAAACCATGTGAGACAATGAGAAACAATGAGGGTACACTGATTCATAACAATGAGCGCCGCGTGGCACGTTGGGCGGAGCACTTTCATGATCAATTCAGTTGTCCCCTACTTCTGGATCTCATACTACTCAGATAATGCAGGATGAGCCATGGACGGCTAGTTTAAAGTCTCCATCGTAGGCTGAGTTCCGATATTTGATCACTGCTCTTAATCATTTTCGTGCTGCTGGCCCAGATTCCCTCGCACCTGCACTATTTAAGAATGTAGGTGAGGTCATCCGCAAACCACTGAACTCTCTGTTCGAACAGGTCTGGAAGGAAGAGACAATCCCAGCTAACAGGAGTGAAACGATTATAATGGCAATATACGAGAAGGGCAGTAGCACCAACTGTGTCTAATGCCATTTGCGACGTAAGTACTGGCCTCGATTCTCGTTTGCCGCCTCACTGCGGTGGGTGAATCACGGAGTAGGGAAGAGTGGGCAGGTTTCCGCCCAGGACGGGGCTGTATAGACCCCATGTTCACTGCGGCGGGTGCTAGAACATCACCACACGTACCGCCGGCCGACAATAGCTGTGTCATTCGATCTTAAGCGTGCATTCCACTAAGTCTGTTCGAAATACTTGCGTAAAGGTGTTCCCATGAAATATGTGAATATTATACGTGCTCTATAGTCGGACATGTTTCCGACAGCCAGTGGGGTTCATCAGGGTTGTCTAGTTTCCCCATTTTTGTTCAGTTTCGTTGTGGACTTCGTCATGCATTGTTTCCTTCAGGAATCTTACGACCCAGGCGTTGAAGTGCTGTCTGGTGAAAGACTAGTTGATCTTGATTGTTTGAACGATATTGGCTCACTGTTTAACGATGTTGGAGCGGTGCAATCAACCGTGGCTGAACACTCCAGAGTTGCCCCATTGTTTGGAATGAGCTCCGCACCTTCAAAGTACAGTGTTGCTTCAGAACCACCAGCCACTTGACGCCTCATTGACGCTTGATAACGAAGAACTCGAGGTAGTTCACCAAAGTGCTTACCTTGCCAGCTGCTTCAGCAACGATGAGCGCATAAGCACTGCAGTCAGTTCACATAGTATAAAAGCTAGAACTGTCTCCTTGTATCTGCGACATTTGTGGGGACAGAAAGGAGATTTCCACCGTCTACTAGGCCGTGTATACAAGGCCACGGTGATGACCGTCCTACTCTACGTGAGTCGGACTTGGCCTCTTCGGTCTGAAGATCCGTGGCGCCTTCAAGTCTTTGGTCATCGCTGTTTGCGGAGTATCGCTGGTGTCTGGCGAAACCCGCGCGTCCGCAACGATGATGTGCGCAACTGAGTGCTAGGCAGTTATAATTATGCTAGTTTCTTAGTTCAAAGATAGCACTGAATAACTTGTGTTGGCCTGGGCACGTACTACGTATGCCCGGTTACCGCTTACCGAGGAGGACCTTGTATTCTTTGCCAGATGTAGGGTAACACAACGTCCCAGGTGGACGGAACTTGACTTGCCAGCGTGCAATGAATTCACTGACGACCAAACTCGGTGTCGTCGGTCCGTCTCACTCTCCAGGCTGGAGTCCACTTGACTTGCCTAGTGTTTCGCTGGGGACCTTACAAGACATGACTCGCAGTGGTGCGCGTGCTGTCACATTCTATGTTAAGGTCTGTTTGGTGCCGAGTTATCTGCAAGGTAATGGCTAACTATGACGCAATGCATTGAAAGCCTCAGGTAAGCGGACTCGCAGATTCCTCCTTATTCTTACATGATAGCTGCTTGTGACGGTATATTGTTAACACAAGATGTAGGCGCCTTGACCCTGAATGTTTGCTTAGGGCATTAAGGTTTTTCGCTAGGGCTTCTTACCCCCATATTGTTATTCTTCCTTTCGTAGGTCTTTGTGGCTGTACGGCAGCGAAGCATCAGTTCAAATGGGTGATGTATTGCTGTTGATGATAGCCAAATTAGCAGCTAAGCTTTTCTGCAGAAGAGTTCAGCACATGTTGTCCAGCACTTGCCGAACAACCAGACGCACGAACTCGGTTTGTTAATCTTGTCGCCGGCGCCGATTGCGTGCTCACCTTCAGCGATTTCTGTTGGTCAGAAGCTGCAACCCTTGTCCTGATGCTACTTTAGAACGCACCCGCAAAGTACACATTCCTGACTCCGTGGCACATACAACTGCACTTGTCTGCTCGTTCATAACCAACTAAATTTGCACTCTGCGTAGCACTGACATCATCCTGGATTCTATACTCGGTTAATTATTAAGGACAGTACGGGTAAAAAGTAGTTGAATTACCCCTACCGCTCTTTATGTATTTATATGGTTGGCGACATCCGGTTGCGCATTTGCCTGTCACTGTGGCCAGCCACAGGACGCCTGCGCCTACAGAGGGAACATGGGTGGCTTGCGCTGCACCACTCACAGCTCCAAGCACACACCCCATATCCAGTGTAAACCCGAAGGAATAAGACCGGGAGGCATGTGGATGGGAGACACATTTCATCAACGGAGCAGGCCCACACTCCTTCACAGGCAAACACAAGCACACTGTATTTAGGGAATCAAGCGCACACAAGGCGGTCGCTGGACTGTAGTGCATTCTACACTGAGTGCATGGAACCACTCTTTGATCCTAACACGGCGACAAGGACCGTGAACCACGTCCCCTCCAGCAGCGACCAACTGTCTCCTAGCGCCAGTATGGAGTAGGTAGTGGGTAATAGACAGGTAGATATCTTGTCAACATGTACATCAAGCGCAGCCACAGCAGGGATATCAAGCAACAGCCCATCACTTGTGAGGAAGCTAACAACTAAAATAAATCGAGTAATGCATAAGGAAAATGCATAAGGAAAATTAATGAGCATATGCAATAAGTTGTTTACGAACGAATCCGAAATATGTTCACGTCGTGGAAACATATATTTTATAGATATGCTACAAACTCGAAAATATTATCGAAATTAACTGCAATTAGCTTAAGCGAGTTGTGCAAGTTTACAGAAGAGAGTACAGGTAAACATTTATATGAGAAAGAAAAGCATTAGGACAAAATTGAAAAGTCGCCCCCTGAAATAAGTAGACTTAGCATGTAAGCACGCCGTTAGTAACTCGAATGCAGCGTATCTAGAAACGCTGCGCCGGTTCTGCCTATGTTCTCTGTAGGACCCGTCATCGCTTCGGTAGTGGTCCCGAGTGGCCTCGCTCATGGCTCACTACGCCTGCCTGATGCAGGCACTCACGACCGCATATGCTACAACACCATGCGCTCGATGTCGATGGAGTACAACCCATCGGTGCTTGCCGCTTCTTCTCTGCATGTATGAGGGCTCTCTCCCGCACTTTGGCAACTGCCTTCGTGATCAGATCGCGCCATGCACGCCGATCAACCGCCTTCGATTCTCATGACCTGCAATCAAGGTTAGAACCTGAGAGGCTCACTTTGGTTATGTCCTGGTAACATAACTTTGATTTCCACGCATGCCGCTTCCCAATACTCAGCTGAATGTATAAGAGTTGTTTCGGTATTCGAGTCGAATACATACGGGTCACAAGACCGAGCCACCTCAGATGTCTCAGGAAAAGTATGCCGTCCACTGTATACATCCCACTTCGGCGCAACACTTCCGTGTCAGCAACTCTGTCGCCCCAAATGATGCACAAAATCCGTCGCAAACACTGCTGATGGAACCGCTCGAGATATCGCACATCCCGACGGTACATCGTCCACGTTTCACTGCCGTATAGAAGAACGGACGGCATCGTGGATTTGTACACCATCAGCTTCGTGCCAATGGTAAGCTGATGGTTGTTCCACACTCGGTACTCTAGCTTACCGAATGCCGATGCTGCCTTCGACACGCGGATACGCAGCTCAATGTGTAGATGCTCATCAGTCGACATCATACTCCTAAGGTAGCAGGAGCGGGAGGTGGTTTCCAATACTTCAGCGCCAATGCTGATTCGCAGCAATATTGAGGATTGCATCTCCGGTGAATGCTGAAAGAGACAGACAGTTTTGTTTGTGTTGATGGTGAGCCCGAATTTGGCCGCTGTCGTAGCCAGAGCACTAGTCATGTGCTGCAACTCATCCGCGCTGTGTGAAAACAACGCACAGTCGTCAGCAAACAGCAACATACAGATAGTTGTCTCACAGACTAGAGTTCTCGCACCGAAACGACGGATGTTCAGCAAACCGCCATCAATACGGTGCTCCACACGAACACCGTAAGCACAAGCCACATCAAAAGCACAAGACAACATTGCATGAAGATATATATTAAACAGGGCAGGAGCTAAGACACAGCCTTGCTACACACCAGTGACAATTGCAAAGTCATCCGAGGTCTCTCCACTCAGCTGCACCCTCGCTCGCATACCACTGTGCAGACATTCAATTAAACTTACAAACTTACGCGGGCAACCAAACTTACCCAACACTAGCCACAATGCCTCGCGGTTCACCGTACCAGATGCTTTGGTGAAATCAACAAAAAGCGAGTACAAAGGCTGGTGTCGTTCTCTGCACTTCTCTTGCAACTGACGAGCCGCAAACACCGTATCTATAGTGCTGCGACCCGAGCGGAATCCACACTGCTCTTCCGCCATGTTAGGTTCCACAACCTGACTGACGAGGCGGTTGAGCAGGATTCGGGCAATCCCCTTGCTCACATAACTCAGCAAGTTGATATGATGATAATTCGTGCAACATTGCTTGCTACCTTTGCCCTTGTACTGTGGTAGCACAAGGGCATCCTTCAGCAGAGGAAGCACCTCCTCCTCAATCCGTACAAGATGCACTAACTGGTACAGCGCAGTCAACAACGTGGGTCCGCCGCGTTTTAATACTTCAGGCAGGATCCCGCCGGCTCCGGCACATTTGATGTTTCCCAGCTGAGCAAGTGCTCTCTGCGTCCAATGCAGTGTCGGCGTGTCCGCCAGAATCACCTTCACACCGTGCTGCTTCAGGCCCTTCAATGTAGGCCATTCAATCTCGTATCGGTAGCTCAAGAGACAGTCAAAGTGTTTCCGCTAGATCTGCATTATGTCTGCAGTCTGTGTGCAGGTAGCGCCTGAACTACCATCGATCAGCGTTCTCAGCGGCTCCAGTCCTGGTCCATACACCGCCTTCAAGGAGTCAAATAATTCCTTGTGTTGGCGGCGTTCGGTGTAGCATTCCATCTGCTTCACCTTCTCCGTCCACCATGCATTTTTAATGCGATGGAGCTCTCGGGTCAGTCGCCGTCGAAGTTTGCGAAACTGACTCTTCATCCCCAAGTCACTGGGGTCTAGCATATGGGCAACAAATGCAGCATTCTTCCTCGACGACAATGCACCAATCGTCGCATTGTTCGCATCAAACCAATCAGGCCGCTTACAGTTTGCGCGCCCGATGGTCTCCTCGGCAGCAGCTGTCACCTGGTCGCGAATGTGGTGCCACGGGTAGCCCACTGCGGCTATTCTTGTCCACACTACACACGCGTGCAGCCATCGCCTTCTCCAACTCAGTACGTTTCGCCACAGTACCGAGGGAGAGAATGTTAAATTTACGCCGATTCAAGGCGGCAGTACAATACACAGATTTACGAAAATATATGTACAGTTTGGTCCGAACCAATTTGTGATCAGTGCCACACTCAGCTCCACGCAGTACACGTGTCATGCGCACTTCACGCATATCACGCTGACGTACGATGACATAGTCGAGCAGGTGAGCGTGACCACTCCGTGGGTGCGTCCAAGTTGCTATATCACTCGCCCTCAGTGCAAGCCGAGTGTTCGTGATCGTCAGGCTGTGTGTGGCGCACAGTGAGAGCAGCCTGTCACCCTTTGCTTTCGCTGAACCAATGCCATGCGAACCGATGACATCTGTCCACACGGATGCATCAAGCCCAACGCGCGCGTTGAAATCACCCAGCAGAAATAGTCGTTTGCTCCTCGGCACAGAATGTATCATGGAGGATAGCTGAATGTAGAATTGATCATGCGTGTCATCAGGATAACACATGGTCGGACCGTACGTGCTTATAAAGGTGGCAAACTTACCTCTTCCGAGTCGTAGGCGAACAGTCATCAGTCGCGCGCTGATGCCTGTTGGTTCACCCACTAGGTGGCCATGGAGGCGATCGGGTAGTACAAATCCGAGCCCATGTTCCCGTGGTGCGTAGGTGGAGTTTCCCACCCAGTTGAACGCGTATGCGGCACCAGCTTCATGCAACTTACCTTGCTCAGCGAGCCGAGTTTCACTGAGAACCGCAATATCGATGTGGTAGCGCACCAGTTCCATCGCGACCAGTGCAGTGCGTCGCTCGGGGCGCTCAGTGGAGTTCCGGTCCAGTAGTGTGCGCACGTTCCAGCACGCCATGCTGAGGGATTTGCGCGCAGACATACGATTGCATTGGTGGGCAATCACACACGAGGTGTGTGTGGTCTCCGCTTGACCACATAGCAACAAGCTACAAATGGCGCGGAAGCGTAACAGACTGCCGATCGTACTGGTCAACTTGTCTGGATTGCGATCACGCACTGCTTCGCGCTAAAATTTGCATGTGTTTCGGAGGCTCATCCAGACGTACGCACTACCGACCGAACGTTAAAAATCTGCAACATCCTGCGACGTTCGCCAAGTACCAGGCTTCTCTGTCAACACTACTTGCTTCATTCTCTGCCGGTGGTCTCAATTTGCAATGGATGTGCATCAAAGACGCTTTAATTTCTGCCAGTACTGTCAGTTGTGAATTTGCTTGTCACCCGCCAAAAAGCTGGATGTCACTGTCTCCTCGTCGCAGATGGACAGACGCCGCTTTATCGCAGCCGAAACCGGCTGTAGTGAGGAACGCCGATCCCTGGATCGAGCGCTGCGTAGGAGCTTACAGAAGGACCGTAAGACCTGGTGGTGTGAACATGATAGAGAGCTTAAACTTGCTAATCTCTGTGGTAATACCAGAAAAGTGTTCCACCTCATCCGAGTTACCGAACGCTTCCGATCTGGACAAGTAGGTCAACAGGCTGCACTCGCACGCACTTTGGACACACTGGGTGTTGATGTATGTTGTGTGTACGAAACTAGGATCAATAACCCTAATGGGGTTGTTGAATTAACTGCATCCGGCTTGTCCTCTCCTTATTGCTTGCACGCATCAGGAGACGCCGATGCAGCACTCACGGGTCAAGCTGTTGTAGGTATCATTCTAAGCTCCAAGGCTGCGCCACCGTTGGTTGATTTGATTCCGATGAACATCCGTTTGTGTACAGCCCGTTTGACGACATCGTCTAAGGTTGATTCACGAAGTAGTACAAAACGCTGTTTGTTTGTTATTTTCTCTTTTGCGCCCATCGACTGCAGTTCTAATGCAGTCAAGGACACATTCTATCACGAACTGTACGCCCTACTACACAGTGCTACTAGTTCAGATATTATAGTACTTGCTGGGGATATGAACGCACGAGTAGGTCGTCTGAGCTCTTCAGAAGCTCAGCTGGGCGGTAAGTATAGGCTTAATTCCAAACGGACTGACAACGGTGAGTGTCTGCTGCAACTGTGTGCTGAGCACCAGTTGTTTCTTAGTAGCACTGCTTTTAGACACAGTGGGCTCCGAAGTGTCACTTGGCGTCCTCCTGTAGCTGGCCAGCGATGGACCCAAATTGACCACATAGCCATAAGTTACAGATGGCGTGGTTACATCCTGAATTGCCGCTCGTACTGGAGTACATGTGTCGACTCTGATCATGCCTTCGTACGCTGTGGTTTCCATGAACTTTACCGGGAGGCACACCAAGCGTCCCCTCCGATTGGCAACTGCGAAATTGTCTCAGCCCTCAGTCAGACAAGCCAATCAAGACGCACTACATACCGAACTGTCTTGTTCTAATGACACCGAGCTTCAGTGGAATAGGATCTTGGCCGCCATGCACGAGGCAGGAGTATATGTTTGTGGCACTATCAATGGTCACCGCACCAGTCACTGAATATCCGAAAGGTCGGTGAACCTGTTGAAATGTGGGAGAAACCTCCCAGCTGGCTCTGAACGCAATGTGATCAGAGGGACTAGTAGGCGCGAAATAAATCGGTGCCTATGTGCTGACAAGGAAGCCTGGTGGACCAGTCGGGCTCAAGTAATGGAGGAGGCAAGAGCAGTAGGCAATTACCGCAAACTCTTCCAGCTGATCCGCACCACTGGTCCCAGGAAACCAGGCGTCAGTGAGACGATCAGAGACAGCGCGGATGCACTGATACACAATAAGGAGCGCCGTATGGCTCGTTGGGCGGAACACTTTCAAAACCAGTTCAGCTGGCCCCCTGCTCCTGAACCTCTTCCTACTGAGGTGATGCACGGCGAGCCATGGATGGTTAGTTAAGAGCCGCTGTCGGAGGCCGAGTTCCGAAACGCGATCACAGCCCTCAACCGTTTTCGTGGCGTTGGCCTGGATGCCCTCCCACCTGCACTATTTAAGGATGGGGGTGGGGTCCTCTGCAAACTACTGACTTCCCTACTCGAACGTATGTCATAGGCTGACATTGTCCCGGCTGATTGGGACGAGTCGATTATGATGGCAATATACAAGAAGGGCAGTCGCACAGACTGTTCTAACCATAGGGATATTAGCCTAATGCCAGATTTGACAAAATTACTGGTCTCGATTCTCGTTCCTCGCCTCATTGTGGAACGGGAATCTCGGATTAGGAAAGAGCAGGCAGGTTTCCGCCCAGGGCGGCAGGTGCTAGAGCAGCGCCACGCAGACCGCAGACCGATAATATCTGTCTTCCTTGATTTCAGGAATGCGTTCGATTCAGCTGACCGATGCATTCTGTGCGAAATACTTGCGCGGAAATTGTTCCCACGAAATATGTGAACATCCTACATACTCTATACTCGAACGCGGCAGGCCGCGTCAGGGTCTACACTGGCCTATCGGATAGCTTTCCGACCACAAAAGGGCGTTCGTCAGGGCTGTCCCATTTCCCAATCTTTGTTCAATTTCGTCGTGAATTCTATCATGAAGTGTTCCGTTGCGGAATCTCACGACGTAGGCCTTGAAGTGCTTCCTGGTGAGAGATTAGTTAATATTGATTATACAGACGATATCGTGCTGCTTTTCGATGATGTTGCGGTGGCACAATCAACCCTGAATAGCCTGTCTAGAGTGGTCCAATTAGTTGAAATGCGCTTTGCACCTTCAAAGTGCAGTGTTGCTGCAGGACCACCAGCCAGTTTATGACCCCTTGACCCTTACTAACGAGGAAGTCGAAGTGGATGATCATT